TTTGCTTTTGTCCCTCTCAGAGCTTACAAATTAAGCCATCAAGGGTAAATCTTTTCTATTCCAGTACCTTTATTTACTAAATCTTAAACTTGCCGAATGTCAGTGTGTTTTCCCTCCTCTCCCCCGGTGTGGGTTGATGTCAGTGATGGGGCTGGTTGTGCAGAGTAAGGAGGGCTCTGCTCCTCTGGGCACTCTGCAGAGGCTTTTGTCTTATGCTCCCCCCCGCCAAAGCACCATCAGCGGGAGGTCTGGCAGAGCTCTGCTTTGGGAGGACTGGGGTTTTATTTGGCCAGGAAGAGGGGCTCTGGGATGTCTGTGTGCTGTTGGGTGCCTCGCTCAGAGCTGGGCCAGGATCTCAGAGCTGTGCCCTGTGCTTGACATCTGTTGTCCACAGTCCCTGCAGTGTTTGTCCAGCTCAGTATCTGAGAAATGAGAGGTCCTTCGTGGGTGAGCTCTGCCCTCCCTCAGAAAAGCCCCATGCCTGAGATGCTTCCCTGGCAGGTGAGGGACTGGACATTGGGACGCCCACCCTGGACCACAGTAACTCATCTGCTCTGCCTGCTGCCGTGTTAAGCTCAGAAGCAGCAGTGAAGTTGATAATATATTTTTCTTTCTACTGTGGATGAGCATTGTTCAAGAAAAGGAGTTTTCACAGTGCCCCAGCTCTTCCTTCTCCTTCACCTGTTACAGCTACCTGGGAGCACAGGGGCTGTAAAACCTGGAAGAATAATGATGGGTTAAAAATAACAAGAGCTCTGCGCGTTTAAAGGGATTTAGTTGGAGGGTTGAGTTATGTCCAAAGCGATTGCCCTGCGCTATCACTTTACCCTTCACTTGTGTGGTGAACCCTTCCTGGGACTGAGCTAAGGCAGGATCTGCGGCACGGTCACAGCTGAGGAGCACGTGGGGAAACAAAGGTGCCTGTGAAGGGCTGCTGCGAGCGTGGCGGTGGGGACGGACGGATGGACGGAGGGCAAGAGCAGCGGCTGCCCAGTGGATGTTTTTCTGAAGGAGTTTTGAAGATGTAAAGAGTTGAATGCATGTCTTGCTGGGCTTGTTTATTATTTTTGTTTTCGAGGGGGAATTTTATCATTGTTTTAAGACTTAGGTTCAGCTTTGTTCCCACTAGAGGAGTCAGATGCTGGCTGTTGACTTAACTGTTGAAGCCATGCTGACGCTTCCAGCTTTTTCTGGAGCTACTCTTTGACTCATTGGAATAAATCCGACATTAAGTACTGATCTTTCTTTCCCCTCCCTCCTAAACCGGACGGCAGCCGTCAGGTCAATGGTTATTTTCCATTAAACGGTTGCCCAGCTCTGTCTGTTCTCCCTCTGAATTTCATCTCTAAAATAAAACAGTTCTTCACATATTTCTGTAAGCCATGTTACTACATTTACTGATTATTTCTGTGTGCTAAGCAGCCCCGCAGTTCTCACAAAGACCCTCGTGTGTGTGCTGCGAAGGCTTTGGCTGGACGGTGGGCAGTGTGGGTGAGGAAGCAGTGACGGGCAGAGGGAAACTGTGCAGCCTTTTTCCTTAACTGAGTGAGTTTGTTGGGTCTTACTTAAGCAAACGTTGCTTGAATGCAGCTCATGGTATTTGCTCCGTGATCCAGTGGAATGTCTGGGATATTTTTGTTTTTCCTCCAGAGCCAAAAAGCAGTTTTTGGCTCTAAATCCCAAAGCTGCCAGCCTGAGGCAGAGCCGCTGTGCCTGAGGGTGAGGAGAGCGGAGCAGCTACAGTGGTGCGGCGAGACGGGCACCCTGGCTGGCACCGAGCGCTCCCCCGGCGCCAGGAGCTGGGCGTGTTAATTAACGATGTTGCAAATGAGTCTACAGCTAAATCTGCTTTTACTGAAATGAGGTATGTGCCACGACTGACTGAGCTGCCGGGCAGCCTGCTGCAGGACTGTCCCACTTGTATCCCAGCTCTGCTGTAGATAAAAAAAATCCAGTTTCAGCGCTCAAAGCTGTGCGACCCTCTGGTGAGCCCTGACCTTGCTTGGCCACCCACTGTGGGCTTTGGGCATGCTGCCATTGCAACGAAGCTCCCCACCAGCGACCTTGTCTCCTGGCCGGCTTTCCAAGCGCTGCACTGCGTCCCCCAGCCCCGAGGAGCAGCAGGCGTCCTGGTGGGTCCTGCCCAGGGCTCCTCTGGGCGAGTTTCTCCAAAGCTTTGTGGCCAGGGCATGGGAGGGTAACATGCTGTGTGACGGGGACGTATTCCAGGTGGCAGTGGCCATGGGGAAGCATGCCTCTTTTAATCTTATTTTTTCTTATATATATTGTCTCTGAACTAAAAAAGGTGATGTTTGGGATTCACCAGCGCCACATCTAATGCAATCTTCTGATGCCTTTTGCAGGCACTGGAGGATATGAGGCTGTGTCCAGACAGCTTTGGGACTTCACCAAGCCTAGTGCTTGGTGGTGTGGCCAGCTGCTGGGGCACAGGGAGGCCCAAGCGCAGGTTTTCTGAGTAGCAGCTTCTTGCAGTGGTTTCCAGACCTGGAATGATGTGGAGATCGAGCTTGCTTTGTTCTGGCCTCAACAATACGTGCATGGAGACTGGGTGAAGCTGGGGCTCTCTCATCCTGCCTGTGCTTTTGTGTTGCTAACCCAGAGAGCGTCTGCATGTTTATCTGTGTTCCAGCAGCAGTTCATAACAAGACATGTGCATCCTCCCAAACCTGCTTTTGGCTGCTCCTTTCTTCAAGTCCTCTCTGTATTCCTCTTACATATTTTTGCGAGTTTACCCGATCTTTAGGTGGGGGCTTCTTGCTTGTCCGGGACAAGCTGAGGCTTTACTTGCTGACTGGAGGGTCTATACGTGTGCGTCTTTATCCTGGTTTTGGCTGCGATAAAGTTACTTTTCAGTACACAGACCCTTCCAATCATTTTTTCATTACCACATGTCCTGAAGTTGCTACAAGAGAAATTCTTCTGATTTCAGGAAGAAAATGTCTCATTACCTCTGCTTGCCTCACCTTTTATCTTACTGCCTTGGATCAAGCATGATCAGTTGCAACTAGACTAGATTTGAAGCTAAAAGAATGTTTATTTTAAAACACAGATTGACAAAAGAGACTGCCGCCTACTACTAAGTTTTGCATAAGATTAAAGATCCTGTAGGGCATCCTGTGGTGACTGCAAAGATGCAGAGTAAATGCCTGCTGGCTCAAGTTCAGTGCTCTATGTGTTTTAATCTTTTCATTTTCTGTGTTAATTTTGTTGACAAAGACCCACATTATCTGGTGTGAAAGAAATACTTTTATATAAAGAAATAACTAAGTAGTTAATTTTCCATATGGTCTTTTGATCATGGTCTTGAATAGTGAGAGAGCCCAGAGTCCTGTGTGCGTATATGTTCCCATGCCAGACTCTTCTGCCAAGAGACCATCTGCCCTCGTGTAATGTAATAATTACAGATCTTTACAACTTGGATCTGTTTTCTTGGAGCAATGGTAGTCTATGAACTGGGCATAGGGAACAGAGGGAGAAAAAGAAATTGGGCCACCTAACTTCAGGTGCCCAACTGAGGCTTGTGAGTTAGGAGCAGCATGGACTTATGGTCTGTAGCAGAGTCAGGTCAACACATGCAGGAGCTAAGCTGTTCTTTATGTCGTATGAGCTCCAAGTAAACAATGTGAGGTCAATGATAAAGTGGAGTATAGAAAGTAAAACCCCCTTATTACTTCTGACAAATGGTGCTGTGCTAGAAGTGAAAATGTCTACGGCAGCTGCTCTGTTGGTCATTTCAAAGTTGGTAAGCTCTTGAGTCCAGTTATTAGAAGATATTTTCACTATACGTTACTGGACTGTAGGGGTTGAAAATAACAATGTCAAAATACTCAGGTGCTTTTGTGTGTCCAGGACAGTGCATGAAAGATGACATCGACTAATCCTCATGTCCTTTGACATGAGACATCTCCACATGTCAGATGACAGTAGCTGTGTTATGAAAGGGCAAAGGCACTGTTGAGGACAGTTTTGTCAGATACTGACACGAGTGTTGGCAAGTCTCTAGGGTGGAATAAGGAGCTCCTCAGAGCATCTTGGCTTTTGCTAAGGGTTTGAATGTTTGCACGCAGGGAAGTGTATTTTATGTTATGTTGGGTGACAGTGTCTTGCCAGGATGCTAAGGTTCAGACGGAAAATGCCAGTTTGCCATAAAAAGGCTGGAAAGAATGTGGATAATTTTTAACATGCACAAGAAGTTGTTGTGAGTTTTACATTCCAGAAATCCATGGGAAAGATGGAACACACAAACCAAAGGACTGAAAGTGCCGTAAAGAAATACATCCCTACCCCAGAAGAAGATATGATACGTAAACGTCTTTATTGCTTAAGGTTAACACGGTGGCATTGAGCTGGCTTTTCTATTCCTTTTCTCACTTAAAATACAGTGTCCAAAACCAGTAAAGGCTGCAACAGCTTGATCATAATTTACACGTTACAACCAACCTGTGGATGCTCGGGCTTGCACTGAGGCTAGAGGGGAGGGAACGTGGCTACTGGCCTCGGTGTGTGTAGGATGACACTTGCTATAAGAATTGCCATGCTGTCACAAATAAGTCGTCTTCCTGGACTGATGTTTGCTGCCAAGTGACCCCTGTCCAGAGCTGTATTATCACAATGTGGCTTTTAGCCTCAGCTGTGGCTACTGCCAGTCCTTGGCAATGATCACCCTCTGGTTAGTAAGGCTCTACACTTGATTTTGTTCAGGCACTTCTTCAGCATGTGTTTGCACATGCACACGTAATAATAACGATAATAATATTAATAATTCTAATAACGATGATGATGTTTTTCTGCCCCCTTCACATCTGGTTCTTACAAGTATTAAAGAGGAAATTTTTTTTTTTTTTACTTCCTACTGGCTCCACACTGATGAGACATCATCGATTTTAATGGAAAAGACCACCAGTGGGAATTTTTGCCTCAAAATAATTTTCTTGACCATCTGATAATGGAAGGAATAATCTGATCTTTGGTTGGCAAACATGGAAAGGAAGATGGCTGTACGGTAATAGCTTTACTCTAATGATGTGTGTGGTCAGTGGTTTCTGGGCATTTAGATAAAGGTGGGTGTGCGATGACGCATGATGAAGTAGGACCCGAAATGCAGAGAGCGTCACTTGTGGAATAACCTTGTAGCTGAGAGCTCAGGCAGAAGTGCCTTATAAATCCATTTTTTGCCAGTGTTAGTTCATGCTGGTACCGTCCCTGCAATTATATAAATGTTAGTATCTAATTTACTAATTGGCCAGCTGCAGCTAGATTAATATGTAACGGATAACATGTGCATGATATTTAACCATGAAGAAAACTTTGTGCTGGACAGGATGCTGCCTTTTTTGTGTCAAATATTCAAGGTGTCTTGCCAGTCCCTGTATCCCTGTTCTGTATTTAGCAGGGGACCACAAAGCTATGAAATGTTAGACATCTGTCTGCACTAAAAGCTTCAGTAATGCTACTCTTGTGAAATGCTTACATCTCAACTAGGAAAAAAAAGGATAATTTGTTTAAAAAGAAACAAAAATAATAACATTAGTAGATGTTGATGTTTCTGTGTAAGACAGGGTACAGGAGAGACTCTAAACCAGAGGTTTTGTTTATTCTCTCTCCTGTGAACTCCTTGTTGTAATGTCTAAACACCTTATAAATATTTATGAATGTGTCCTCAAAGGAAAATGAAATTTATATAATGGAGATGCAAAGTAGTGTTAAAGGAAGCAACTTTCCAAATGTTCCTACACAGTTATACTGTGACAGAGCTGGGACAGTAAATCAGACCATTACATCCCGTTTTGATCAACAAGCCATCATCCCATCCTTCTTATTAGTTACTTTTGCCTTGGCTGCTTTCAGAGTAATTCACTGCTTTTCTTTGTAAAGTACAAATACTTTATTTGTAAGGAAATACTTTTTTTTTTGGTAACTTCGCACTTTGGCAGGCCACGCACGGATTTATGGCCAAGAGGGGGTTGCACTTAGCGGCAAGGAAGGAACGGAGAGAACATTAAACTCAATTTTCATTGCGTGTGACAACCCGCTCCGGTCTTGCTCTTCAGCTGCCGGCGGTGTCCCAAGCATCACTTGGGAGTCGTCCGTGCTGAGGAGCTGGCGCTCTGTGTGCGAGGGGTGAATTTGCAGCACCGAGCTCAGCAGTGCCGACTGCCTGGGAAGACCTGCAGTAATGGCAGTAATGCTTCCTACGTGGCGTGCGGCTGCCTTTGCTTTCCTCCCCTCTCCCGTTCCTCCCGCCGCTGCGGCAGGGCAGCTCACGTGCTGTCAACAGCTTCCTCTTGCAGCCAAGCCCGTAACGAAGCAATTACCTGCGTTCACTGTTGTGCACTAACGAGAGGGGCTTGTTTCTGGCTGCTCCGAGTGGTGCCGGACTTCTCCAAACAGCGGCTGGGGGCACAGAATGTTGCAGTGGTGGCAGCGTCTCTCCTGCGGCCAGGGACTCAGACGCCTATTTGGGCAGTGACAGAGTGCGTGAGCAAGAGGCTAATTCCCTGTTCCTCGGGGTTTTAAAGGCTTTGTGCAAATCTCTTTGAAGTCAGCGGAGGACTTCTGTTAGCTCCTGCAGTGGGCTTTGAATCTAACCGCAAACGCTCGGTTAATTTACAGTGTGTGCGAGTCTTCTGCTAGCTGGCTTGTGAACCTGAAACGGTGCTGAGCGAACCTTCAGAGAATATATGGGATGTGCAGATTTGCACACTGATCTTGATCTTTCCAAAGCGATATGACTGTGGATATATGTTGAAATACCCCCAGTACTGTGCAGACGCATTCCTCTTTGGTCTTGTATGTGCTGTTTGTATGTGTTTAGTTGGCACTATGAGCTCTGAGGTTTTCTTTTAAGTTACTCTACAGTACTTTAGGGATCTCAACTCTCATCACTAATAAAATAATATAAAGCAAACCACTGGTAGGTCTTGCCTTGTTAACTGTTATAGCTGTTGTGTTTCCCACTGTTCCAAAAAATATAAAGCTTTATAAGATTTAACATATTCCCAGTGCAAAGCATGAATATTTATAGGCAAAAAATAAGACTTCCCATTTTGAAATATCAGTGCTATGAAACTGCTTTTTTGGCAGGCGTGATTAAGCCAAGGGGACTTCCAATAATGTTTTGTAAGCTTTTTCCTTAATTATGGCTTAGTTTCGGTCTCTGAGTTTAACAAAACCTATGAAGCTTGCAGCAAAATATTTTTCCTGTGGAAAATTTTGTTTGCATGGAATACAAATCCTGTATTCCTTGTGGGTGTGATTTTTTTAAATGTGTTTAAATGTGGAAATCCAATATTTTTTCTTTGCATTTCTTAAAGCATATGCAAAATAAAAATAGCTGATACTGTGTTTAATACAGAATTTTGAAGAAATTTGTTTTGAAAGTGCATGTGATTACTTTTTTTCCCCCTCCAATCGCCTTGAGTAAAATGCACATGAGGTTATAAGACATCAAGCAAGAGGCACAAGATTCCATTTCAAGCAGTTACTGCTGCAAGAGACAAATTAGAAGCAATTTTGCTTTCATATACTTGTTCTTAAATACACCGTTCTGACAATAGCAATAAATAGAATAATCTGCATAATTGTATTTATATGGTGTTGATCTGTCTTTTCTAGAGAAAATCCCTTTTCCCAGATAAAATAATCTTCCATTCAGTTGTAAGTGGAAGAAAGCCTCTTTAGCAGCTGCACAGGTGTAGGGGACTGTTTCTGCATAGGCTTAATACAGAATTTTTATATGGACCTCTCAGTGAATTTGATTTTTTGGTGAACAAAATAAAGTAAGGGCACTAAAACCACCTTGCTTTCCTGTGCAGATTGGATAACAGGATATTTATTGAAGAGCTAGACAGAAAAGCACAGAGATGATGTGATTAAACTGAGGTAGATTTATTACTAGATTTTTTTAACAGCATATTTTCTGAAATTGATGCAATAAATTTCTCAGCCCTGCTCCAAGATAGAGTTTTGACCAGCTTAGAGCTATTCCTGGCTTAATACTTAAGTAGAAACAGCAGAAGTGGTGGAAAAACAGGATCATTTTGGAAAAAAAACCACATTCAAACAGTTTAAAATCCTCTGCCGTGATCATGCTTTTCTGACCCCCTGCAGCCTTACATTATCAAACTGACAATGTCTCAGTCTTCCTAATATTAATGTTGAAATATGATACAAATCATCTGAACAGAGTAGAAAGATAAAGAAGGAGTGGGGTAGCATCACAGCTACCTGGGGCTTGTTCTACTAGTGCTTAGACTTGCTAACATGAGCTTAAAGTCATGGGCTGGGCTTTCCAGGGGAGCTGAAGAGAGTGGAATCCCTTGAAACTCAGGGACTGAACATTTTTAACATCTGGGTTTGAATGGTGAAGTCAGCATCTGAAAAAGCAGTATCTGGAAAGCAGTCTGAAAACTGTTTTACTGAAAATGATGGGGAAGTTGGGGAGTTTGCGGGTTGGGGGTGTGCTTTTATTTTGCAAATAAAGGAAAATTCTCTGGGATGGCAGAGAACAACACTGGAGTCTGCTGTCTGTGTTTCACCTACCTTTGCTCTTCTTTGCAGGTTACATATTTGGGTAAGGTTTCCACAACAGGGATGCAATTTTTGTCAGGCTGCACAGAGAAACCAGTCATTGAATTATGGAAGAAGCACACGCTCGCCAGGGAGGATATTTACCCAGCTAACGCCCTTCTGGAAATTCGCCCTTTCCAAGTCTGGCTGCATCATCTGGACCTCAAAGGCGAGGCGACAGTCCACATGGATACATTTCAGGTAGCACGTATAGCCTACTGCACTGCTGACCACAATGTCAGCCCAAACATCTTTGCTTGGGTCTATCGGGAGATCAACGATGACTTGTCCTACCAGATGGACTGCCATGCTGTAGAGTGTGAGAGCAAGCTGGAGGCCAAGAAGCTGGCCCATGCCATGATGGAGGCCTTTAAGAAGACTTTTCACAGCATGAAAAGTGATGGCCGGATCCACAGGAACAGCTCGTCAGAGGAAGTGTCTCATGAATTTGAATCTGATGATGGCTGACTGCACTCCTTCACGGTTCATTCAGCAAAGGCAGAAATGGCCTAGGGAGTGAGAGCTGATAGATGAATAAGCAACAATTGAAATTGGGGAATGAAAGGACTGCCAAACACTTCAAGTCTGACCAGCTTTTTACATCAAAAGAGGAATTCTATACCTACAGATATGCATCATTAAAGTAATTACATTACATTGAAATCTGCTGCTGTTGTAAAAGTGAGAAAAAAAACTCCCTCCCCCTTCTCTCTTACCCACCCATCACTGTCCCTTTCTCGTGTCTGTAGTTCAGGTGCATACCATGAAATAGAGTCATTCCTGTTTTTCTTTTAAGACTGGTCAGGCAGTTTTATTAGTTGCTCCTCTGACATTCCTAGCTGGGGGCTGATGCACAAGAGCAAGTAGACCTGGAAAGCCATAATGGTCCCTGAAGAATCTTTCTCCATGATGCATCACAAAAATCCTTTGACCATAAATAGGCTGACAGCCATGCATAGCCTTTTAGACTAATGGCCTGGCATTCTGCAGTTAATTCACATTTCACAGACAAAACACAAAAGAAGATGCTTGTATGTACACATTATATCATATGCTATCCTTTATTTTATTCATTGTACCTATTTTCTTAATATACCTGCTGCCATGTCTTTCACTCAACACCAGTAGTTGCAGTTTCAGACTATATACTGCAGGATACCAAAAAGGGGTGGGCAAAAATACTCTGCGATGGCTAGGGATACAGCGAGCCAGCACCACTGCCTGTGCATTTTCCAACCCTGATGCGCTCCGCAGGAGCAGGGCCCACTGGTAAGAGTTGAGGGACACTTGGGTCTGTCAGTCTGTGAACTGTGATTTCTCATCAGCCTCAGGTCTGAAGTGATATGAGCATGGTAGCTTCAACTCCATGTTACCAGTCTCTGCATTGCTGGTTGAGTGGCCCTGGTGGGATGGAGCTGGTAGTGCCTCGTCGCACAGCCAGGGCTGCGTTGCTGGAAAGATCAAAGGAAATGGTCTCTTAGGAGGCAGGTTTGAACATCTGTTCTGGTTGAGAAGCTCATGTTAAGATTCCCGTATCCTCCCCTGTTCACAGATATACAGAGTCATGCCTTTCTTAAATGCAGATGTTTAATAAAAATCAAATATAAAAGGAAAAAACTTGTTTCACTTGATATTTTTTAAGGCCGGGAGCAGATCAACAGTTTGCAAGTAATGCTGCTTGTTTATGCAATTTTATCCGTAATTATGGTAATGTTAGGGGCACTAGGGCACCTTACAGAAGCCTTAAAAGAAAGCTAATTGAAGCAGATAGCTCCATGTCTTGTGTTTTGTGGGTCTATATGTTTGTATGTGAGAGTGTATGTGTGAGTCCAGTGTTAAAGCATGTCGACTGAGCATGGAGACATATTGAGGAGGGCCCACGCCTCTTGAAAATATGCTTGTTGCTTTGCAATGTATGTAAACTATTCTCCAGCGTAAATGCATTCATACTTTAATAAAAAAAATGGTTTGAGTTAAAGCTTGGGAGTTTTAAGCTGTCTTTCCAATGCAAACTCTGTGGTTTTCTTTTCTGTGTGTGGGTTCTGTGTTCGTTTCACTCAGTGTAATGAAAATGTTAATTTATTTCCATTTAGTATTACATCAGTCTCCGTGAGAGTTACCTTTAATATTTTAAAATTATTTTCTTTCAAATACTTAGGTAAATTAGTACTGTGAGGTTGTTTTTTTTTTTTTAACTTTGCTGCGTGTGGACACGATTTATAATTTCTGCTTTGCAGGTGGCAGAGATACCCCCCAAGCACACCCCTGGCCAGCTGAAAGGAGCAGTATCTTGCCCTGCTTACAGAGAAATCGCAGGGTGGCTCAGGTGCGGCATTAGATGGTGGGATGGGGAAATAAAACACCAGGCTGGCAGCTTCCAGCACTGTTTCTCTCTGAATCTTTGGATAATCCAGTGTTTGAAAATACGTCTCTAAAAGTGATTTATTTTTTTCCTTCCCACAATGCTCAGTTGGAAGTGGAGGGTCATGTATGGGCTATCTGTTGGTTAAAAAACAAACAAACAACCCCAAACAATCTGAGTCCTGCCATGGCTTTTAGACGTGTCTATGTCTGTCTTTTAGACCAAAGGCGAAATTAGGCAAAACTTCCTTCAACTTTTGACAAATTATTTTCTTTTTCTCAGAGGTGCAATCATGTGTTAGGTTCTTTACTTGTTTGGATGCTCTGCCACCAAAGCTGCTGTGAATCAGTGTGTGAAATCCCCTGTTTCATCCTCTCAGCCAGATGTCCGTGCTGACAAGGGAGAGGTTTGATGGTGAGTCCCAGCCCTTAACCGAGGGCTGCTCAGGTGTGGGAGGGGGAGAAGAAAGACACCAGCCCTCCTCACACCCAGGAGCTGAGATGCCTCCTGCCTGCCCTGCAGAGGACTATGCCGGATGATTTGGGTTTGGGATTTCCACTTCTGGAGCAAATACTTAGAAGCGTGGGGTGTGTTCCTGCCATGGGGGGTGTGTGAGGGTGATCCTTCTGACCAACAGCCTGCCCTTCTCATCAAGCAGTCCAGGCCGGAGCACCACTGGACAGAATGTTGTTGTCATTTTATCTTTGATCATGGTCTTTCCTCTAACGTGTGGGGATCTGCTGAAAAGATCCTATCTCCCCAAGTCACCTGCGGGTGTGGGTTATGCCAAAAATACCTTTGTTGGGGTTTTTGTTTTTGTCTTTTTTTTAATGTATTTATTTTTAAAGCACAGTCTAAATTTCTGAAAACAGTGCTGGCTTTATTTGGGAGCAACACACAGAAACCATAGACAGAAATGCAAAGGGTTGCTCCAATGTGCTCTTTCTCTACATTATTTGGGAGCAACACACAGAAACCATAGACAGAAATGCAAAGGGTTGCTCCAATGTGCTCTTACGCTACGCCCTGAAGTGGTGTCTTGCTGCTCGCCTCGTCACGTCTGTGACTGTCAGCATCTGCCAGCAAGAGCCCTGGGCTATGGTGTTACTCCCCCACTGTAGTCCACAGCCACGTGGTGTTACCTAGAGCAGGAATAATCTGGGAGTGTGATTTTAAATGGTTTTGTCTGCAGATCACAGTCTACAGTGATGCTCCATGTCAGGGCATCGTGTCATGCGTTGATGTTTGCAGCAGCGCAGTGCAGTCGCTCAGTGATGGAGATGCAGGTTACTTGGCTGTGGTTTTGGACTGTCATATTTCATGGCTTGGTGTCAGATAAATCGATGCTTTTGGGAGCATGGGGCTTACCTGTTTGCTAGTTGCCTACGTGCACTTGGAAATCTGTTCCTAGGGGCTGATTAGGAGCCTGAAGGGACAGTTACGCGAGGTAGCTGCCGCGCGTGCCGCCCTTGCTGACCTAGCGCTGATTTACAGTGGGTTGGGAAGTTCTTGCAAAGGTATTTGATATTGTGGTGTCTGTCACAATTCCTCAGCATTTGGAGGCTGTGGATTACATGAGAATTTTGAATTATAAAAAGAAACGCAAAGGAGAAAATTCTAGTCCTTGTGATTAGAAAATCAGACCCTTTGAAACACGAACCAGCTATTTTCTAAGGGTTCAAATATGCAAGGGAATATGAGTGAATGTGAATTCCAGTTTGTCTTAGAAAACACGAGATTTGAAAAATGATCAGTATCATGAGTTTGGATCCTTAGATAATTTGGAATTCAGGCCAAATCCCTCTGCATTATCAATACCAAATGTGTGATACTATTTGCATGGAGGAGGAAAGCTTTTACTCCTAAATTGAGAGCGTATCAGTTATCACTGAATATTAGTTGCCAATAGATACCAGAATGAAACATCAGGTTAAACTTTTCCTAAAATTAATCTGTTGGAAAAGAAAAATCATAAAGTTTCCATCAGAAGTCACTTCCAGTTGGCTAAAGACTTCCCTTTTCAAGTACAAAGGGCCCAGTTTTGGATCTCACTGCATCCCGTTGATGAGTTCCTTCAGCATCAGCCAGGAAAACACGT